TTTCTTTCTTTCTTTCTTTCTTTCTTTCTCTCTTTTTTGGGTAAATTCAAAATAACCCTTTCTCCACTCTATATGTTATACTGTTTGATCCTTTTTAAATTTTGGCTTGCTGCTACATCTAGAACCCAGAGCTTTGCATGTGCTAGGCAAATCCTCTGTCACTGAGTCCCAGCCCAGCCTGTGATCCTTTGGGGTAGATTTATATGAAATTAGAAGAGGAGGGCATTAAATAAATCCATAACTGTGAAATATCTTCTGTTTGGAGGTGGTCCCACTACATAGCTCTGGCTAGCTTGGAAGTCAGTGTATAGATAAGGCTGGTCTAGCATCACCTGTCTCTGCCTCCCAAGTGCTGAGATTAAAGATGTGTGTTGCCATGATGGTGGAATTTCAGGTTTATTTGCTTCCTGTAACCATAGAATAGTAAAAATAGCAACCTTACTACTACATAGATGGCCCAGTGGCCTGGGTGCTAGTAAACTAGTTCTCTATTAGATCTGTCTAGGGAACATGCTAGCTCTTATCCTGATCTTAGGAAAAGTTTGGATACCTAATTCTTACTGCCTTCTTTGGACCAGGAAATGCATTTGTCTTTGTCTTGGAAAGCTACTAGATTGCCAAGTAACCAGAAAGAATCAAGGGGAGAGCAAGCATGAATGAGTTAGCACAAGCATGAATAAATGGCCCGTGTGAGAGGCATGTACCACGGGCCCTTGTTATCCTTTTTGACTTTCATGCCTTTGTTGGTATGTGCAGCACACAGATAACTGAGGGGGCTCTGGAGATGATGGGAAGGGATAGTAATGCAAGCTTGAGAGAGAAACACGAAATCCCAACGAAAACCAAAGTGGTCCTGTTTCATCCTGGTAGACTTCAAAGAGGAGTGGGTTTGGGGTATGGAAAAAGCACAGTTGCCTGCAACAGCACATGCGTGCGCACACGCACATGCACAGGCAAACACACACACACACACACACACACACACACACACACACACACACACACAAATGCTTTGTGCTCAGATGGACAGTCAAGGGAAGGAGCTCAGTCTGGTTTCCCTCTGTAACTGAGTTCACTTGCATTCTTCCTTCCAACAGCTGGGAGGCGCCCAGAGACTCTGCTTGCAGGAGCCAGGCTGCCTCTGTCTTTTCTTTTCATGGAGAAGCTGCTGCCCCCTTCTGGGGTTAAGTGGTTATTTCTAGGGAAAATGCTTCACTGAGTTCTGCTATGGTGTTTTTTGCTTAGTCCTCACTTCAAGGGTGAAATTTCAGGGCAGACCCAAGTAGCTTGTGCTTTGAGAAGGGAGATGTACACATGGTTGTGTATGCTTTGGAGGGTCTGCAGAGGGAGTTTGCTTTCGTAGAATTTAAAGCTGGAGTCGGCTGTTCAGACAATTATGGGAGAGACAAGGCGGGTGGAGTCTAGACCAACCTCGAACCTGTAGCTGTGGCATTCTGAGTCTCAGTTTCCTAGGAGTCTGGAGATTCTGGGTTGTTTTTCAGATGGGGTGATGGGTTCAGTGAGAAGATGGAAAACTAGGCTGTTCCCTAGTTTATACCCCTGTCCATCTTCAGGGCAGCTTAACTCTGAGCAGTTTTAGTTATTAGGAGTGAAGAATGAGCTTGCAGGGGGAAAAAATGTCCTCAAAAGTCTGCAAGGCACAGGACTACATAGCTTCCAAGGTCCTTTTGAACTCTGATGTGATTTTATGAACTTGAGTCCAAGACTTGGAAGCTGAAGTCACGTGCCAAAAATGTGTGTTTGTGTTGTGGATGTTTTGCAGGCGGACAGCCCTGAAGACATGCACAGCTGGATCAAGGGGATTGGAGCAGCTGTCCAGGCCCTGAAGTGCCACCCTAGGGTAAGTCACTTCCTTTCTGTGCTGCGGCGTCAGCTTAAAGATAAATTATCTTCGGATGGGACATGTTTTATTTGGTTATATAGGCACGCAGCCCGGCTGTGAATGCTGGGTCACTTGTTTTTCTCTCTCCGCTAACTTGGGTACATTTCCCACCCCCTCTTTTTTGGTTTGTTAGTGGACATGAAGTCGGGCTGGACAGGGATGTGAAGTTTCTGATGTGTCCCTACAAGTCCAGCGTCAGGCAGAACCCCGCAAACATGGGGAATGAATTCTGCTTAGTATCTTTTAAAAATTTATGTATTTATTTTTACAATAGGGATCTTGCTGTGTGGTCCAGACTACCTCAAGCCATCCTCCTGCCTTATCCTCCTGGCAAACTGGGACTAAAAGTGTCCTTGGCTTCCATACACTCACTTGAATCTGCAGCCAGTGTCCATGTTTGAATTGGCTATCCTGGGGTACTTGAGACTTTGAGACAAACATTGTAAGGAAAATTCCTTAGCCTTTCCCTTCTCTGTCTGCGTTTAGGAACCGTCCTTTTCAAGATCCATTTCTTTGACTCGACCTGGAAGTTCCAGCCTTACAAGCGGGCCTAACTCCATTTTGTCAAGGAGGCGGCCACCAGCGGAAGAAAAACGAGCTCTCTGTAAGGCCCCCTCCATGGCCTCCACCTGGCAACCCTGGACACCTGTCCCCCAGGCTGAGGAAAAGCTATTGTCAGCCGAGAATGCTTCAGAGGATTCTTTATTCATGCCTAACCCTGGGGAGAGCACAGCTACAGGGCTGCTGGCAAGTTCTCGAGTCAGGCACAGGTCGGAGCCCCAGCACCCCAAGGAGAAGCCATTTGTATTCAACCTTGATGACGAAAACATACGAACCTCTGATGTGTGATATATGGTGCCATTGTGTGCAGGAGAGATGGGGGCTGGGACTCATTTTCTCTGCCATGGTAGAGGACAGAGGCTAATGGCATTCACAGTGGAGGGGCTTATCTAGCTGGCGTTGGTTTTGCAATTATTGACACAGTTTATTTAATTGGGGAAAGTTATTAGGTTAGACCCATGGGCATATTCCATTGCCTCTTGAATGCCCCCTTTTCCCCAGGTTTCCTAGTGAGGGGTTTGTTTTCATATTTCTTGTCTAGAGGAGGCTAGAGTCCAGTTTCACCCATAAGCGTGTTCCTCTTGTATTTCTTTTATAGTCTCGGTTTTGCTTCCAGTCTGTGTATAGGATCTCAGGCTGCTTTCATCTACTCCTGTTTATTGGCTGAAGTCTGGGGATCAGGCAGACAGTTAGCATCCAGACTAAAAGCCATCGAGTGAGATTCATGTTGCACAGTTCAACTGGGATCCATCTGAGGGCTGTCGTTAAGAATCTGGGGAGTGAAAGGTGAATTGTGGGATATCTACCCTGGGCAGTTCTTTCAGGACACCTCCCAGGGGAGCAGACAGGACCTCTTGTGAGTCATGAGGGCTAATGAAACTGCTATAGCCACTTGTGGGAGTCATGACATCCTCTTGATGCTCCATGACCCCAAATGCCATAGACCTGAGTGACAGAGCCACCAGTCTGTTTTCTGGCCCTGAGGATGGGGTTTTCAGGGTTAAATGTTATGATTGCAGAGACCAGAACAGATGCTTCCCTTGAAACTGTGGTGTGTGTGTGTGATGGTTAAGTGTAGATTGTGTGTGTGTGCGTGTGTGTGTGTGTGTGTGTGTGTGTGTGTGAGAGAGAGAGAGAGAGAGAGAGAGAGAGAGAGCACAAATATTCATGTTAGGACCATCTCTATCTCAGAGGCTTAGATTAATATAAAGCAGCGACAGAGAAGAGATGGATGGTGGTTTATTGCTGTAAGCTTCTTCGATCCATGTTTTCCAGACAGGAGAATGGCTCTTCTTTGACACAGTGAATCTGGAATCCCTGTGTTACAGCTCTTTTAGAATGGGCCCACTTCTGTCTAACGCTAAGTGCTTGTATATTATGCAGCCCGCTGACCCACTTGCTCTGTTTTACTGCCTTGCCTGTTAAGTGAAGCCATGCACACACCAAGTGGAACCTCAGCATCTGATAAGAGCCTATGCACTCACTAGTGAAGAGACTCAAACAGGATTTTTTCCCCCCAATACTTACATTTTTTACAGAATAGAAACTAGGAATAAAGAAATTGAATCAGAGGATGAATTATTGGCTAGGAATTTCCTAGGTTCTAGAAGAGTTTAGAAGATTAGATTTCCACCCAAAATTTAGGGTGTGTTTTTTTTCCCCACTGGGCAAGATACTATTTCCAGTGGCTTTGGGGGCATTTCTATCAGCCTTCAATGAACTGTGCTACCAGAAAATTATGGCCATTTCCTACAGGGAGAGAAGACATGGCTCATTCCTATCTGTGTGACTTTTATCTACTAGGTAAATTAATCCTATTTTTAACTAGAAATTTGTAGCTCTAAGAAGAGACTAGGAGATATTTTTATTTAAGCTAGTTAGCACTCTGTGTCCATAGTTAATGCAAAAGCAAAAACAGGCATAAAGGAAGCATGTTCTTTCTAGTGTGACTGTGACCCTGAATCTGGTGCCACACTCAAGACTCCTGGACTTTCTGTGTGGGAGTTGTCCCCCACTTTAAGTCTGGCCTTGTGTCCTGATATAAAAAAATACAAAACCAAAAACCACTGGGCTTCTTTCTCTTTCTGTTCATGATCTTTCGTGTGTCTCCCACCCCTAAAAACCACTTTTGTGTGTTTTGATTTTCAGGGTTTGGGATTATTTATTTATGAGTGGGTAAGGTTACAACCTACTTCAAAAGTCAGTGCCCTTTGTCTCTGGTTTCAGCTTAAAATCTTCCCTTAGAAAATTCTTTGGCTGCTCAACAGAATTGCTCAATGTGAGATGAGGAACTGAGGAAATAAATCAGGAACTCCTGGAGGGCCTTGAACATGCCCTGGCTCATGGAAATGATGTCATCTTTTGGCGTTTAGATTCCAAAATCTGTCTGTCCCTCTTCTAGAAACTGTTTGCTTGGTTATTCCTGCTGCATCAACAGGTTGTTACAGAAAGTCGATAGGTTTCAGGACATATTTTGAGATAGATAGATTTCAGTACATATTTTGAGGTCATGTTAGATTAAACACAATGCAGTTTATATTATGTCAACAAAGGGAAAGTACAGAGTTTCAGTGACCCTAGTCAGCCAACACATGAGACTTCCAAGTTAGAACACTGTTAATATCGGTGCCCAGAAAATATAATTGCCTTTGTGAAGCCTCAAGAAAAATTTAAATTCTCAATTCTTATTTCAGAATTCCCCTTCTGTCTGTATTTCTGGCCAGTTTTATACAAATCTTCCCCTTTTAAATCTCCTCCCCCCACACACCTTTTAAATTTGTTTTTGATAGAATCTTGCTATGTAGTCCAGGCTGGCTTTGAACTGGTAATCCTCCTGCCTCAGTCTCCTGAGTGCTTGGATTATAAGCATGTGCCACAATATCCAGCCTTTGACAGTATTTTAATATGAGCCAAAGATGGTGCATACACTTTTAGTTTTCAATGTATCCCATAGACCTCTGTCAGAGGCTAAGGTGTGATACTGTGTGGGTTTGTGGTTAAGCATAGAATGTGGATACATCCGAAGGGATTTCTGGATTATAAAAGGTACTGCATTTTCTTTGTCGAATAAAAAGTGTCTCTGGAGTTGGGTCCTTCTATAAGGTTTCGCAGGCACTGTTTTCCGTAGCTGAAGTCTGTCCTATCCATTACTCTTAAAAGGTTTGATGGACTTGCTTACCTAGGGTCAGGTGATAATCAACAAAGATAGCATGTGTTTTTCATTCTGTGACCCATGCTGAGGATATGAGTGACCACAGACTGGAGAGGGACCTCTGGTCAAAACGGCAGAGTGACAGTTCTACTTACAAGTAGAGTGCTGGCCTTCCATGGAAGATTTAAGGTCCATCGTCCTAGTTTACTGGAAGCAAACTGGTTTGGTTTCTCCTTTTCTACCCCGTGCTCTCCTCAGGACTAAAATGACCGTGTGTAAGCAGCAGACCAGTAACTGAGCGGTGGACTTGATGCTTGTTTTCAGTGTCAACCAAATAGCCATCTGGTAGCAAACGGCAGCATTTTAGGCTTTCCCATGTCGCTTGTTTTAACTTTTTTTTTCCCCTCTAAAATCTGTTTTCCTCAGTCCCCCAAGTTCTCACTGTGTGTTATTGCCTGCCAGAGTCAATTATAGTTACTTATACCAGGTAGGTGTTGAATCAAGTGAATATTTGGCAAAAACACACAGTGTGACCGCTGGGCCCTCTGTTTATGAAGGTGTGGCATGCCTCATTTGAGCCGGTGTTTGAGCTATGAAACACCTCCTGCAAGCACTGAGCTCAGTGCATGGAAACTCCAGCTTCTTACGTTGTATGAGCTCCTAATTGGTATGTAGCAAACGTCATTTTCTAAAACTGTTTGGTTGCTTGTTTTGTAATAAAAACATGTGAAATAGGAAATCTGGTTGTGTGTTTTCCTGGTCAGATCTCGTGGCCGTGGGTGGGTGGTCACGTTTCTCCCTTACCCCATGACTGGTTTTAAAGTATACCCTCCCTTCATGACTTAGGGGTGGGCGGCCCTTGTCCTGGGATGACATGGGTGGTGGGTGATACATGTGTGTGTGTGTGTGTGCGTGTGTGTGTGTGTGTAGAAATGAGCCCGACCCTGCCCTTTATAAAGTCTGGAGGCCGGCAGAGGCAGCATCCAGGCTAGGGGAAAAAAGCGCTCCTCATTTTAGTTGTTGTGAGCCCAGGGTGAACTGGAAAAGTAGAATCGAAGTCCGGGAGCAAGATGAACTTCCAGCGGTTGTGGGCTGTGCGAGCACTGTTTCTCCTGCTGTGGCTGCTGCTGCCGGCCGTGCCTGTTCCGTGGGCCGAGGCCAGGAGGTCCAGAGTCTCGCTGCCCTGCCCGGACGCCTGCGATCCCACGCGCTGCCCGCCCCTTCCTACCTGCTCGGCCGGCTCCTTGCCGGTGCCCGATCGCTGCGGCTGTTGCCAAGTGTGCGCCGCGGCCGAGGGCCAGGAGTGTGGCGGGGCGCGGGGCCGGCCGTGCGTCCCGGGGCTGCGCTGCGGCGCCCCGTTCTCCCGGGAGCCGTCGGGGAGCGCGTGGCTGGGTACCTGCGGCTGCGTGGAGGGTGCGGAGGGCGCGGCGGTGTGCGGCAGCGACGGGCGCACTTACCCCAGCCTGTGCGCGCTCCGCAAGGAGAACCGAGCCGCTCGCCAGCGGGGCGCGCTCCCGGCCGTGCCGGTGCAGAAGGGCGCCTGCGGGGATGCAGGTGAGCGGGCGCCGGTGCACCCCGAACACTTTCAGTTTTATTTATTTTTGTTTTTTTGTTTTTGTTTTTGTCCCCGAAGATGAAGATGAGTTCGCTTGCTCGCGAACTCAGTTGGCCCTCCTTCGCCAGCTCCAGGGATTCAACCTGTTGTGGTTGTTTCTGGTGTTCTTGCCTGGTTAATGTGGTCTCTTTACTAGTTGCCACGGGGCGTGTGGGGGGGGGGTGGAAGGGGAGGAGGAGAGAGGCAGGGGAGGGCTTACCTTTCTCCTTTTCTTCTCTCTGGTAGGACAGGGCGGGTCCTTTCATCTCCTAGTCTGGAGAACCTGCAGAGAAAGAGGGTCGGGGGAGATGCTGGGGAATTTTGAGATGTGACACCTGGATCCAGGGACGCACTCGTCACGGACCATTTATTCATAGGGACCACAAGAGCAGGGCGGCTCCGGAGAAAGTACAACTTTATCGCCGCAGTAGTGGAGAAGGTGGCGCCATCTGTGGTTCACTTGCAGCTGTTCCGCAGGTAAAGGTCACACCTAGGGCCATTTACCTCACCTGATGGTTGTGCATTATGTGACAATTAAAACCCGTTGTGAGAGGAAACACAGGTTCAAAGAGTTGGCTGGGATGTAGGTGGGCAGTAGACTCCGTGAAGCGTGCAGAAGACCTGAATTGCTAAGAGTTATTTCGCTAAAGAGCCAAGAGCCAAACACAGGGATTCCGGTTTCTAAATTGAAGTTACAGCTGTGCATATTGGTGGCTGTTGTTTCTTTCTCCCCGGTATCCCACAAGCAAAACTAAAGGCTGATTGTAGGAGCTAGTAGTGAGCGTTTGGAGGTCTTGTTTAGCCTTAGCCCTCGCTCACAATCAAGGAAACCCCCAGATCGAGAGCAAAATTAGTTTGCTCTATGTCACAACGCCAGTTGGTAGTGAAAACTAAGAGCTAGATTTTGACTCTGTGGCAGTAGTGGGAACACAAGGTTAGCACCAGGTTTGGCCTGTTTGCAGCAGACAGGCACACAGGTTTCCACACTGGTCTGAAGGAGGAAGCAGCGTCCTGGACCCAGATCTCAGCTGTGTTAGGAAAAGATGGCCAGGTCGAGCTTCAGGCAGCTCACAAAGAACATGGAAGTGGATAAGGCAAGAGTAAATGCACGAGAAAACTCCTGGAAATATGTCTGATAAATGTGAGGTTTCCTGTGACTCACAAACAAAGGCTGAATTCCCAGATTTTCCTGCCCCTCTGCTCACACTACTATCTTCTTCCGGAACAGATCACCTCTCACGAACCAGGAAATCCCTTCGTCCAGCGGCTCCGGGTTCATAGTGTCTGAGGATGGGCTCATTGTCACCAATGCCCACGTCCTCACCAACCAGCAGAAGATCCAGGTCGAGCTCCAGAGCGGGGCCCAGTATGAAGCCACTGTCAAAGACATCGACCATAAACTGGACCTTGCACTGATTAAGATTGAGCCAAATGTGAGTACCTGAGAGAGCTGAGTCAGTGTTCACATTTGGGGATTTCACAGTTCATTTGCTGGAATTCTTTTGTACTTCTTCACCACGACTTTTCTTTGTATGTAGGGTGCATGCCTGCATTCCACTCCCAGGCAGCGGCGGCCTCCTCCTCCTCCTCCTCCTCCTCCTCCTCGTCCTCCTCTTCTTCTTCCTCCTCCTCCTCTTCCTCCTCCTCTTTTTCCTCCTCCTCTTTTTCTTCTTCTTCTCAGTCTCTGTCTCCTCTTCCTCCTCCTCTCCTCCTCTTCTTCTTCTTCTTCTTCTTCTCCTTCTTCTTCTTCTTCTTCTTCTTCTTCTTCTTCTTCTTCCTCCTCCTCCTCCTCCTCCTCCTCCTCTTCTTCTTCTTCTTCTTCACAGTGATAAGTGATACAGAGATTAAAATCTAGAGTATTACTGACCCTCACCTTCCTCCTCCTCCTCTTCTTCTTCTTCTTCTTCTTCTTCTTCTTCTTCTTCTTCTTCTTCTTCTTCTTCTTCACAGTGATAAGTGATGCAGAGATTAAAATCTAGAGTATTACTGACCCTCACATTCCCTCAAACACCTCCCTCTTCACTTCTGCCCCTACCTGTTGTGATTCCAATCTCTCCTCAGTAAATGAAGAACTCAATTCCCAAAGTTGCAGTGGTACAGCCCCCGGGTTCTCCTCCCATAGCTTCTCCCACTTTCCTCTGGCCCCCATCCCTAGGCAGGACGAGTGACTTAGTTGGAATGGATAGGCGAGCCCTAAGTGAGGACAGAGATGGAAGGACAAGCTCATCCTCATGGAAAGGGGTGGTGGGGATACAGCGTTGTAAAGTCAGGGCTCCTCTAGCTTGGGTTACCAACAGGACTCTGTATACAGCAGTGGTTCTCAAACTGTGGGTCATGACCCCTTTTGGTCAAACAACCCCAAAAGGGGTTGTTTGATATTCTCCATATCAATCAGATATTTACATTATGATTCATAACTGTAGAAAAATTACAGTTATGAAGTAGTAATGAAAATAATTTATGGCTGGGGGTCACCACAACATGAGGAACTGTATTAAAGAGTCACAGCATTAGTAAGATTAAGAACCACTGGTTTAGAGGAAAGGAGACCCTGTAGCCTCATACTCCTTCCTTTGGGAACAATGCTTGATTGTTAGCACTTCTGGCATGGGTTACAGAGTCGGGTTGGATCACATCCTCCTCCAGCCACGGCTGCTCTGTGATGGAGCTGACCTGTTGCAGAGAGGGATCCTTGAATCCAGAAACTAATTCTTCAGGTTTCCTCTCACTCCATTCTTGATATTCATGTACTTTCTCATGTGAGCCTGTACCAGGGTCTCTGTGTCCCCTCTCCCAAAGATATTCTCTCTCTCTCTCTCTCTCTCTCTCTCTCTCTCTTTCTCTCTCTCTCCCCCCCTCCCTCTCTCTCCCTCTTTCCCTCCCTCTCCCTCTCCCTCTCCCTCTCCCTCTCCCTCTCCCCCTCCCCCTCCCCA